CTATCAACGCCGAATCAGAGCTCTCCACATCACTCGGCAAGCTCGATCTCTCCAAAACGTCGTCGTCTTCGACAAAACCACTTCACCAGTCCCTCTATCAAAACCTACCCAACTCTCCTCCCGCTCCCGCTCCACCTCCCAAGGATAAACCCCTACCTACTCCCGAAGACGTGGTCTCAAGAGCGGAGACAGCTCACTCGAGGACAACTTCCGCTCTACCTGCTCTGCCTCACACCGAAAATGGAAGGCTACACCCCGGCTTCTCCAAATCATCCCACACACGCAGCATGTCTGGCTCTTCGATACTCGATGCAGAAGATGAAGAGAGCCAGGACACGAAGGGTGAGATTCGGAGTATAATGTCCCAATTCTCTCCAAAGCTTCAACCCCAATCAGACACTCAAGACGAAGAGCACGATAGCATCAACAATAATAAGGTTGAATCTCCTTCTGCCGAAAAGCCACCGCTATCTCCTATCCCTCCTCGTACATCCAGCCTTGGAAATTTGATGGCCGTCGACCGGGCGAACTCCGATTCCAATCGCTCCCCGATCTCTGAAAAACCTCTACCGACCCCTCAACTCAACCGTCGCTTCTCCACTACTCTCGATCCCCACCCGCATTCTCCAGCCGATTCAACTCATCCCCCTCCCGTCCCGGACCCAGAACCCCCTCAACCCTTCGACTTTCACCGTTTCCTCGAACAGCTTCGACATCGTACTGCCGACCCCGTTGCCCGCTTCCTCCGCTCCTTCCTCAACGAATTCGGTAAGCGCCAATGGCTTGTACACGAACAAGTCAAAATCATCTCCGATTTTCTCGACTTTATTCATGGCAAGATGGCCATCTGCGACGTTTGGCGCGAAGTCTCGGACGCTGAATTCGATAACGCCAAGGAAGGAATGGAAAAACTGGTTATGAACAGATTATACACCCAAACATTCTCTCCGACCATACAACCACCTGCCCAATCCCATCTAAACAAAAGAGGCAAAGGCCGGCAGAATCCGAACATGCCGGGTAGAAGAGGTCAACACCAAGAGGACGTTGAACGAGATGATATCTTGGCACAAAAGGTTGCCATATATGGATGGGTACGGGAGGAACATTTAGATATCAAACCCGTTGGGGATAGTGGGAGGAAATTTTTGAGTTTAGCATGTCAGGAGTTATTGAAGATTAATAACTATAGAGCGCCAAGGGATAAGGTTATATGCGTGCTCAATTGCTGCAAAGTTATATTTGGTGAGTTCAAAACCTTCTTGCTAAGAAAAATCAACGGCTAATCGGCGTTGGTAGGGCTGCTACGGCACGCAAACTCGACCCAGTCAGCTGACGACTTTGTGCCTCTATTAATTTACGTCGTACTCCGCGCCAATCCCGAGCACTTGGTCAGCAACATTCAATACATCCTCCGTTTCCGGAATCCCGACAAACTCGGTGGTGAAGCTGGTTACTATCTATCATCTCTAAGTGGCGCTATACAATTTATAGAAGGATTAGATAGGAGCAGCCTAACCATCAATGACGAAGAATTCGAACGTAACGTGGAAGAGGCAGTCAGAAGAATCGCCGAAATCAAGGAGCCGATCAGCCCCGTTGTCGGCATGAATAAGGGTGTGAGCGGAACTATTGATTCTGCAATGGTGCAACAGAGGAGTTTATCGCTGTCTGCTGCAGTCACAGGCGGGCCGTCAACAACAGGGGCTAGCGACGAGAGGGGAAACACAGAGAGACGGAAGAGCATGGATGCCAGACCTGATGGGAACAACACTAGTGGAGGGGGTGTCGAAGATGAAAAGGCAGCTGTTGCTGGTTTGTTGAGCACGCTTCAAAAACCGCTGAGTACGATTGGAAGAATATTCGGGGATGGGAGTTCACATGCACAGTTGCAACCCATGACGACGGATGGTGGGCCGGTGAATACACCGTTACCTGGCAACACGCCTCGAACGAGTCCCGGGCCGCACGAAACTAGCGAGGGGCAAAAATCGTCGAATGGGCAACCCAGTGCCAAGTATCTACAACAAAAAGCGGCGCTAGAAGCCGCAGAAAGTGCTGCGCGGCAGGCGAGCGCGGAGACTGCAGAGGCTGTAAGAATACAGAGAGCAGAGCATGAGAATACAGTCGGGTTAGTATATCCCTTTTTACCAGTTTAGTTGGGTTGGGCTGACATTGTATAACTGTAAAAATAGGATATTGGCGTCCATGTTTCCTGACTTGGACAAGGATATCATCGACGACGTGGTGAGGTTGAAAGAAGGGAGGTTAGTAAGCTCGTTTAATCCCCTTCAATTCTGGTTTTCATAAATGTATGGATATATACTGCCACGCTCCTTTCTCCCCTATTGTATTTTTTGCAGTTATATTGGGGTTTGGAGTTTGGTCTGAAGTGCTATGAGTATTTAATGCTAATGTGGGTATTGAATGTAGGGTTGGTTTAGCGGTTGATGCATGTCTGGCGTTGAGTTCTTGAGGATGAAAACACGACTAGGTGTTTTTCTCTGCTCTTTTGTTTCTTTTTGTCTTTTGATTTATCGTTTTCGGGGTGGGTTTTAGTATTGGTTGATGACTTTGGGCTCCTTTTTTCAGGCTAGATATTCTATTTTGCTCTCTTTATAGGAAGAAATAGTGAAGAGATATATATTATATGTTGGCGTGATTTAATAGGTATATCTCATTCTTTTCATTTAATATTTCTTCGAAAAAATTTTGTTTCCTATATTATGCAGACTTGAGTGACGATGGCCTTAGTTATGTGACGCGCTATGATGCCTTGAGATGAGACCTTAGAATTCTGCAATCTCAATTCGATGATATGCTAATCTATCTAATCATTTCCAGCCCCCATTTTATACCTTATGAATTTTAATTTTTTCCATTTTACATAGCATACATAGAGCATACCAATATATCATATATACTTTCAGTATTTATCAGTCTTTCCTCTCCAGCCACTCCCCGCAAGCCTCATAAATCTCTTTGAACCCCTTATAAGCCATATACCTCTCCCAAACCCCTTCATCGATAACTCTGATACACTGCAACGACCCCGCTATGAAAAAATCCGTATAACTCACCTCAGCACCATTCACGAACGGCCCACCCGCACTCAACAACATTTCGCCAATCTTTTTCAAATCCTCATCAGCTTTTTGCCAAACCTGCTCTTCGTTTTCGAGGAGGGATTCGAGGGTGCGGTTCATGGTTGCCTCGCGGGTTGTGCGGAAGAATTCCTGGGCACGCGGGGAGAGAATGTGGATCTCGCGAGGGGTGCAGGAGGTGCGCACTGTTATTCCTAGGGCTGTGCGGGAGAGGGATTCGATTTGTTGGCCGAGTGGGGTGGTGAGGGGGAGGGGTGGGGTTGGGTAGTGTTCTGTGAGGAAGGCGGCGATGGGGGGGGAGTCTGTTATGTGGGTGTTTGTGGGGATGTGGTGGATTGTTGGGACTGTGTATTTTGTGGAGGGGGGTGGGGGGTGTACTCCTCTGTAATATAATAGTACATGTTAGCAAATACTAGCTTGGTTGAATATGTTACTATTCGGTGGGTGAGGGTGATGTATGACGTCATTTGGAGAAACCTGGGGTTTATCTGACTTACAATGCTTTCAGAGTGGGTTCGATATCTGGGAATTCGAGAAAGATGGTTTTGTAGGGGATGCGCTTGTAGTTTAGTATCATGCGGATACGCCAGACGACTGGGGAGAAGCAGACGTTCTTGATGCATGCCAGATCGTATAGCACAATTTCTGGTTCGCGTTCCGTTGCCATGATGGACTTGACTTCTTAGTTTTATTAAGCTTGACGATATTGGTTTGATGGTACGAAATCAATTAAGTAAGAGTAATAGCTTGTTTACGAATATGAATACAGAGCTTAGCTAGTGCGAGGGTTACGTGGTGATATATATATACTCGAGCTTGCAGGGGTGCTGTAAGATATTTCGAAGCTCTATCGAAGCTCTCTCAGAGCTCCAATTGGCCAAGAAGTTCGGAACATCAGACGAACGTGTAGCTTAGAAGCTCTAGGTTACGTTATATTGTATACCCGGACAAGTAAGGCGTGCGGCAAGTAACTTCCGTTTCACGCTATCTCGTGAAGTGGGATCCTTTTGAGTTCAAAATACGAAAGTCGATTGGTCGGATCTGTGAGTTACACCGTACGAAGCACGGATTTAGGCGCGCCGGCGTGTTTATTTCCAGACGTCCGGTCTTCCCTGACGATTTAAGATCTGAAACGGTCGATCTTAGTATAAAGTTAATTTGAAGACATAGGTACATATTAATATTCATCATTAAAATTATATAAATAGTCGTATAAGAGGGTACTTATTCGAGCTTTCATATTTGAACATTGGGTATCGGATAGGCGCGGACCATGGCGGTGAGCTTGGAATTTTGTCAATATTCAGATCTTTGATACACTGGCACCGTTTAGCAAGTTAGGGTATACGTTAAAAAATATTGCAGAAGTGAAGAAACCCCGAACCCAATCGCCCTTTAAATTTGATGAGCATATCGATCTTATCGGTAATTTCAACAGTGATAGCAATATTGATTTAGAACAAAAATGTGCTTACATTTTGATACATTTCTCGCCGCATCGGAACTTTTGATCTCTGCCCTGATAACAGCACGTGATGATCGATGATACAGTGCTCCTTTTCAGGATTAATCATCTTGACAAGAATGCTCGAGACTATCTAGTCTCACAAGGTCATCCTGTATTCCGAAACTGTGGATTCATCGAAAGACTCGAGTTTGAGGTGATCCTATCTGAGACATAGGACCCGAGACGATGCAAGAGAAATCAGGGCCAAGCGACCCCACACTAGCCAAGCAAGCACCTTTGACTCGCAGAGCCAAGCCAGGTTTCAGACAATTTTTGTGACTCGACCAACAATGCACGTTTGCTGCCGGATTGCATGCATCGAAATTGTCGGTTTCTGCTCACGCTATCAATCGACGAAGGTACCTCAGCGAACCATTAATACAACCAGCGGTCCCATAGCTCAGTCGGTTAGAGCGTCGTGCTAATATATATACTTACGTTCTTAAGTATCTATGTAAACGCGAAGGTCGCGAGTTCGACCCTCGTTGGGACCAAGGTATCTTTTGAATCCGCCGAATATCGTGTGATACGGAGAGTTCTCTTCCACGCTTGCAGATTTTTAAATTTTTGCCAGGTTATTCAAGGACTTTTGCTGTCTTGCGAGGATTGCTGCTGGGTTGGTGTTGCGGGTTACAAGGATGGCGGCCGATATGTAAAACCTGCATGATATCTGCGACAAGATGAATAAATAGAACTCCAAGCAGCAATCACCTGAGTATCCTTGCTTGGTATCTACCTGCAAACTCTCAGACATTTTCATGGCGCCGTGCAACAGCACAGACATCAAGATGTCCAGATGTCCTCTTCATCTATCTACGCCTCTTTTTGCCATCCGTCTCAACATTTCTTCCTTTTTTGCCTGCATGTGATGTCTGGGTACTGCATCACTTTCAGCGAACTCCGCAAGCCTCATTCCGGGGAGGCCAGTTCGTTGGCACTGATTGGCCACCGCGGCTGGATCTCCAATCTCTCTAGCCTCGAAGCCCAAACGACCAGGAAGGAGAGAAATAGATTCGAATCTCAGCTGATCTCCCTCTTCGAACCGCTTTGCCACTCGCTTTCGCTAAAGAGCCCGAGGAAAGTGACAATTAGATTGGCAGGATAACTTTGTGTGACCACTGAACTGCTGATCTAATGACTTTAGTTCCAACTCTCTTTCAATCTCACTTCCCGGTCTCTTAATAAGTCACTTTCAGATTTTTAAAATTTCTGGTGTGCGCCATCTGAGATCGAGAAAGATCGCGAGAGAGTGGGCCAGGTAATAATAATTGGGGGAGATGGCAAATTATTGATCGCGAGAACGATGTCGTTTGAGCAGTTCGTCAAGCTGCATTGAGCCCAGAACATTGGCACGATAAGTGATATTTGCTTCAGTAGTGTCCTTGCCAAGTGAAATCCAGAGCCTCGCGCCAACGATGCCCAGCAGCGCCCAGCAAGCGGTCAAGAGAATCGCAAGAATGTGAATGGATAAAATTTTGAAAATCGATTCCCAAAAGCTTTACTTTCTAAAAAATTCAGCCGCACAAATTTCCAAAGCGCTTCTAGGCAGGTAACATTGACGGGAGATACCGCCCGATCCCATTAATCTACAATGTATTGCCCCAAAGGAAATAAATTCGGATGGCGTTGAGTTCTTGTCTCATCCGGAATCCTATCTCGCAATTCAAGGCTTCGCAAGCCCAAAGATTTTCGGAGGACGGTATACGAACTAACATCTCTCTCTCATCTGTACCCATATGTACGTCAGCTAAATGAGAGTGATCAAGTTATAATCATCCCATCAAAGAATGAAATGCCAAGCCGCATACCATTTTCTGGCTGGGCTGGCTAAATCTGAACATCCGTAGAAATGGCAAGTGAACTTTTTCGAAGGATCAACAACGAGTGGGTACAGACTCAGAGTCACGGAATACGCGCGCGGGGATGAGGGGGCTTATATGCATAACGCAACGATCGAGCTTGCCAGCACGGGGTTTTTTCCCTCCTCTTTCCTTCAGTGGGGTCTTATTGAAATTTGGTATTAATATACAAAGCTTTTTTGGAACCTGCAGGCCAGAACCGTTGAGCATTCTTTTTGAAGAGCGGGTTTTCGGCACCGAGCCTTGCTTGAAACTGAAGGATTTTTTTTAATTCAGAGCCGGAATGTAACTGTTTAGGGTGTGCATGTAGATTAATACAGTCCGAATGTAGGGTTTCGTGATCACCACCAACGTCAATATCGCTGGGGGGAGAATATACCTGGGGGGAGAATATACCCGAGGGAAGAGGAAATCCGCAAACGAGTGGGCAACCCTCAAGGGTTGCAAGAGATTTGATTGCTGGAGTCGAATTTCGGGACTACACTCGAGGAATTTTTGCCCTTGTCCGCTTCATGTGTTAGCGGTCTTTGCCCACTGCGCACTTCGCACGCTGCTGACGACGGACTTGTATTAGTTTGCTGCTAGTTGGGCCATAAGGCTTAAAATGAGGAAAAGGGGTGCTTTTCTGAAGGCCCTGCAAGGGTTTATAACGTTACGCGAACATGGTACTTTTTGATTTGGTGCTGATGCGCTTTTATCGGGCACTCACCCAACATTACCGTCATTCCATTGCAAGGGACCAATCGATCGTGGGATCATGCCATTGCGACGGTTGTAAATTTTTCGATATTTTTGCCGCTCCAAGAGAAAAATCGCGGATAGCTGCAGCTCCCATCGCAAGCCTCCGACAGCGGAGGCAAAACTCTAAAAAAGTTCAAAATTGAAAATTTTTACAAATTAAAATTATTTTAGTCACACGAGTGTTCGGGAAAGTTTCAATGTTCAATGTTCAGTTGAGATTTTGATGTTGAAAGCTACGAGTGTGAAAACTCCCAGCGTTGTATTTTTTGATAATCGCGAGAAAAATAATACCCTTAAAAACTCCGGTACAAGAAAAGTGAGAGACAAGAAAAACGCCCCATCGAAATAACGAGCATAGCCAAGAATATTATCGTATCCTCCAATCTCAGATCTCCACATGGTCCCGCCGCATATCCATCCCATTAAAGAATTTTATACAAAAGGAACGTTGTTCGAGGTATATCAATAATAAAACCTAAGAAAAATCGTATAGTATAGATCATCCTCTTTCCTCCTCCTGATCGTTTTTCATTCTTTTACATTCTTAAGAGTGATAACCTTGCGATGGGGCCGGGGTAGGAACAGTTGGGTATTGTTGTGGTTCCTGGTATCCGTAGGGTTGGGGAGGAGCTGGTTGCTCGTAGGTTGGCTGTGTGGCACCGGTATTTTGAACGCCAATTGGTCCGAGGGAAGCACCACCGGCCTCAAGACCACCACCACCGTTCATCTTGGCGACACGGTGTCTATGGCAGCCGATGGAGTAGAAGACGAGAGTGACACAGAAGAGGATCCAATTGATGGCACCGAAAGCAGCACCGGCAGCGCAGGCACCATAGACAGTTCCGGCACCGTAGTATTTAGCCCAGGTTCCGAGCCAGCCAGCCCAGTCGGCGAGACCAGCGAAAGCGATGAGCCACCAAAGAACAGCGAAAGCTTCAGCGCCGAGGCAGAACCACTTGAAGTAGAGCTGTGGTGCGAATCTTGGAACAAGTAGAACACCAGCAAGGAAGAATGCAGTGTAGATAGCCTATATTTCAGTGTTAGTATAACGAATTTAAACTTGAATATCCATGTATATCTGCTAAAGATTTCAACGTACTGTGAAGAGAGAGAATCCAGCACCCCATCCGAGGAACCATCCATGAGTCTGCCCAAGGGCGACGCAAGAACAGATGAAGACGACGAAGGTCAGAACAATCTGAGCATATCTGACGAACATGAACCAATGCGGGACCTCTGGGATTTCATTGCCCATTCCTCCAGCAGACCTAGCCTGCACAGTACCGGGTTGCTTAGCTTCCATATTTGTTGATAGTTGGAAGGTTTGAAGTCTTCGAAAGCACTTCTAATTAGAGAGAATAAGTATTGAATATTTCGATGGTCCTAGCTTTTTAAGGATGCAGAAACCAGATTTCTTGGTAGTCCAAGCTGTTGTATCAAGTAAGTAATGAGTTGTCTGTGAAAGATAGTTCGGAACTTTGGAGAGAGGCTGCATCTTTTATAATCTTTTTTCTCAGACCTCGCGGCCTGACATTTTTGCTCTTTGTTTCCACTCCCCTCTTGAGCTCGCAGGTGCTATCGCTGCATCCTATTTTTCTTTCTTTTTTTTTCTTCCAGCTTCACGACGGAATTAATTTTGTTGGAACCAAGTCTTTGAGTCCTCAAAGCCAAACCACCAAGACCCTAGTCCAAAAGTTGAACAGATCCCATGCATGCATGCAGTGTTCAATGACGAGAAATCGAAAAAAGCAAGGTTCAGTCTCGAACAACCCCTTCAACCACCCAAGAAAGGGTTCAAAATCCTTCGAAAATTCGGCCGTGCGATGTGGTTGGCCCACTAGCGACTCGAAAAAGCACAACCGAGGAAAATCCAGCGGGACACACTCAAACGACAAGGGTGGCTCAAGGGTTCTTGTCGCTGTGGGTGAACGAGGTTATCCTCCTCCTGGTGTTGTTTAATTTTGACAAATCTTCGGGAGCTCAGCCGCAAGCCCAAAATGACTTTTAATCTCTTCGGTACGCCGAAAGTACCAGATTCTGTGGTATTTTGCCTGCTTCCGGCCGGCTAGAGGGTACCGTGACTCTTTTCACCCAAAAGTTCCCTTATCGCTATCGGGGGCTTCTTTCGTTGAGACCAAGAATGCTCATGGGGTTGGCATGGTGTGCGTGGTGGGAGGAATGCAGGGCCTGGCTGCACGGTTCGCTCATCTATTGGCCAACTTGTTTTTGCTGTTTGTGTAACTCCCATGTGGTTCATTAGCAGTCGAAAAGCAGAAAAGAAACCGACGAATTCACAAACCGCCTTGCAGTGGGCCCTCCTATTCAATCTTGGCAGCCTTAGTCACCAAACTTTTCGCCATTTCACTTTATTCGGCGACGAGTTCCCGACGACGCAAGAGAAATAGACCGGGGGTTGTGCCTCATGATTTGAGATATCTTTGCGGTGGCAGGATTAGCGGGGTATTGTGTGCATGTGAGAAGGCTGAGTAATTCATTTCTCAGAGGACTTTTGTTCTAACGCAAGCAAGTTTAGCCGCTCGTTCGTTGGCGAATATCGACGGTGCGATTCTTTACCAGAGCCTCTCGTCGCGATTGCGCGACAGGGCAGGATACGAGGCGAGTGGGTGGGTTTTTTTTACCTTTAGACCTCTTCTAACCGTCCCAGCTCGGCAAAAATATATGATCGATGAACACTGGAGCCTGATTAATTGATATTTGTATCTGAAGACTAAAATAGGACAGAGGTGATCCCAAGACCAAGCACTGCATTATTGCGACCGTGGAGAGCTGTTTGTTCCCGTCTCGGATGGATGGGTTTTCCAGGCAGATGCAGAAACCTCCTGCGGTCGTCGTCACAGTCTTAACTTCCTCGACTGCGGCGCGTGCAGCCTGAG